AAAGGAAAAGAAGACTTCAAATTGATGATTCAGATCCTTAGTGTAGTCACATCCTTCACTTGCTTTCCTTTGTGTATGTGATTATCTGGGAGATAGCATGGCTCTCTTTGCATGTCTGTTGTCTCAGTCATATAGCACTGGCAAATTTTTATTCCCTTGAGGAATAACATTATAAGAGGAGGAAACAGGCTTTTGCCTTATAGTGTGATCTGATGTCTAATGTCTCTCGATGTGAGAGAGATTCTGTGTGCTCCCATGTTCACCACAGTTGGGTTGTCTGGTTGTGGAATATGGTTTCAAAGTCCATGTCTTGGTATTGGTCTATCAAAGCCCATTCCTGTCTGAAGTAATAACTATACATTAGCTCCAACTATACATCAATCAGCTCTATACAAAGCCTAAATGAGATATCCAAGCCCATAAGGCTTTTCTTGAGAGTAAGCACCAAAGAACTCAGTGAGATTTCCCTCTGCATCAACATCTGTAAAACTGTGGTACTCATCTGTTTTAATAGAGCAGACTGGTGTATTTGTACTTAAACTAGCATACTTGCACAAGACATCCTTACGTTACCAAAGTATGAAGCATGGTGGCCAGGAGGGACATACTGTTGCACCGCTGTAGTGCACTTGCCTTGTATACAGAACATCGAAGACTGAATCTGTGCCACCTCCAATTCAAGGAACGCTTGAAAATACCTTCTTTTGCCTGGGAGGGACCATGGAGAGACAATGCCGGTCAAACTCACACTTGGAAAAGGATAGCATAGAACTGGAAAAAAAATGGTGAAAAGGTGAACCTAAATCATGAAGTTCCCAGAATTAGTTCCCCGTTGATTCACTTGTAGACTGCGAATTGCAAGTGTGGACATCTCTTAGCAGCCGTAAGTGGCTGGGAGGCTTTCTTTTCTTTTTTTTAAAGTAGTGTTTCTGAGCTCTGCAGATTAGACTTTACTTGCTTTACGTCTTGGAAGCTTTGCAGACGCACAGCCCTCCCCACCTCCATCCCTGTTGGTTTATGGCATAAAGTAGGTCTAGGTGTTTGTTTAAATTGGGTGTCAAACTTAAACAAATAGTGACAGGCTGTTCAAACAAGCTTCGGAAATAAGTCTAATCAGGATGTTTGAGAAAGCACCAAAGAGGAAAGAAAGGACCCATAAAATAGTTACTTAAAATATAAGGGGCAGTTACCATAAGGCAGACATGGATGGTAATTGTTGTCAGTAAGAACCGGAGTTTCCTGCTGTGCGTTTTCTGCTGATGTTTCTTATCCCTGGCCATAACTCAGAACTGTAACATGGTCTCCAGGTTAAGCTGCCCTGTGCTTCTCCATCCACTGAATAACCAACAAATCACCTGTAAGATGGGCAGGGAGATGCATGTATCAAAAAATAAACTGACATTATAGCGTCTTCATCTTTTCATTTACTATTGTGGTTGTAGGAGTTCATGTGCACCACTGTTAGCCACAACATGCACTTTCCTTGTATTTCAAAATTGCCTTTATGAGCATTACAGTGGCTTTGCTGTTAATGATTCCGCTTTCCCTTTATAAAATCTTCTGTTTACCGCCCAAAGCAAAGAACAGAATGGAAAATGCTAAAGGGGAAAAGACTGTAGTGAAGGCATTCAAGTTCTGCAACATGTGTCTTGTAAACCCCAGTTCTCTTATACAAGACCCTGTATCTTTTTCATATAGTGCTTAACAAGGCATTTGTTGGTCAAAAGCGCAACAAAAGGGAATACACTGTATGTACTGTTGTAACAACAGTTAAGCCAAATATTAAGCCTCTCATTACAGATTTTGTGAGTTTAGCCAAGTGAGTGATAATAGGACTTTTTCTTTATATATGCCTATATGCAAATTGATTATTCAACACCTACGTATTATTTTCTTAGATCATTATCCTGTCAAATGTCCAGTGAGCAACAAGTCCTGCTAGTGTAGTAAGAAAGGATCCTGCCACTCACACAGACACTGTTAAACTGTGATCCCAACAAAGAAAACACACCCTCTTCTTACCAGCAGCAACAAGGTGTGCAATTCTGCATGACTAACAGAAAGGACTTACTAGGGCACCTGTAAAATGCTGACCTTATTTCCCAGATTTCTTTAGCATCTCTCACCAGACAGCTCCTGTTAAATTAGCATGAAACAATTCACAAACGTGAATCAAGAAATAACAAACCCACTATAAAGACTAACCTCCAGAGGAACATTGAAAAAGGACTGCCTTTTCAGAAGAGAAGAACCCAGAGTTTGTCGAAGGATTTTCCATAGTTTGGGGTCACTGTCAAGAAGCCCCCGCTCTTATGGTGTCCAGTTTGTCCTCTTGATAAATAGAACTATGAAGCAAAGTCCTTGCAGGTGAACTTAAATTTTGGCAAAGCACATCTGGGACCAGACATGTAGGAAGTATTGAGGGCCCATATTATTTAGCAACACTGATTCATTAGAAAGTATTGAACTGCTTCTCCTACAATTCTTTACCACTGCCTGTACTAGCTAGGACTGACAGGGATTGCAATCCAGAAGTGTCTGGAGGGTACCAATTTGGCCACACGTTTTAGACAACGGAAGTCACAAAACATATTGGTAACCAACCAGAGATGACTTGCTCATAAATATGTGAATCTGCTCTGCTGAAAGTTCTGTGTTTAAAGTGAAATGGCATGTCTGTGTTATCTGGTCTGTGATAGGACATTCATACATGAACATCTCTTTAATATGATGCCTTCAAGTAATATCCGCGAAGCATGAACTGGCAAATTTATGTGCAGCTAACCATGAGGAGGAATGTGTCATAAATGGATCTGTGCACATCAGACCCTGAGTTCTACTCTTGTGTTTCTACTGCACATTGTTGTACATGGGAGCAATGGTAGAGCCAGTATTCTCCATGTAAAATCATACTTGCTTTTCTTTCTTCTTCTTCTCCCCTCTCCCCACCATTTTGGCAGGTAGTTAGTGGTCAGGATAAAACTACAAGATACTGATACAATTAAAAGGGAATTTTCTTGGCATTGCAGGAGCTTGAGCGATATACATATCTTTCTCCCCTGCTATGACATTGTCATGGCTGAATAAGAGGAATGGAGCAAAGAAATACTGCGATCTGATCTGGTTCAAACCCAGAGTTGTACAGCGTGGTCAGTGATCCAAGGAGTAAGTGGAGCAAATCCTACCACTGTGGGGAGAACCACTTTCACATATCATAGTCTGCCTGTGGAGCAGCAGCTTCCCAGCACTTTTGCACAGGTGTGGATGAATGAAGCAGCATCATTTCCTGAATTGGCATTGTCTTCATAGTCAATACATCAGTCAGGTAGTCAGCATAAACCATGTTTTAGAAAAGTGACATTTTGGGACTACGCCTCTCACTATCTCCTAGCTGGTATCTCCAGCAGGGTCATGCTGGCTGGGAGATCGTAGCAGTAGAGGCCCCCAAAGTCATTTTCCCAGTTCTGCAAAAGACCAATGCAACAAGAAACCAAATAGCGAGGACCTTCTCTTGGGTAAAACAAAGCACTATTTTAAAAAATATATCTTTCCATGTGTAAGTTTTCTTCTTTCTAGGTTTTAGGAGTGCTCTAATTAATTCATAGACTCTAAAACAACCTGTTCTGTTCCAAGGTGCAAAAACTAAACTATTCTGCCTATTTACTTGTTTTTGTGATTGAAAACAAACAAGCAAACATTCCCTAGAAGAGTGTGCGGACTATTCTAGTTTTTATACCATTAGCTAATAACAAACTTTTTACTTGAAAGGATAGAAATTGCATGATAGATCATGATTTAGCAAAAAGTTACATGTTGTTCAAGCAGTTGACTCAAGTGCACTTAAATGTGATTTTAATTGGGTTAAGCGTATTGGATTTTGTCCAAGGTGTATATTTTACGTTAAAGGCAGTCTTTGGAATAAGAACAGTCCTTTCCTCATTTATGTGAAATAGATTGGAATTCTGGCAACAGGAAACAAGCCAGACAATATTGTTCTGTTTGTTTGTTTGCTTGTCTTTTTGTGGAGTTAATTTGATTCTCTGTGGAAGTGTGTCTCATTCCAAGTGGAGCACCACAAGATTGGAGCAGCACAGTGTGAGAAGCTTAAGACGCCATCTTGTGTCAGATGTTAAATGTACCAGCAAGGCCCTGCTGGCTGGAGAATCTAGGAGACGTAATTTTTTAAAAAGTCTTTGTTCTACGCTCTGGTAGAACTCATATAGAGTGAAAAGGTTCCTGCTTGAACCACCATTTATTTCCCCTTGCTGCTAAAGGGGAACAACAAAACAAAAAACCAAACTGAAATAGAGTATCTGGTTTGGGGAAAACATTACTGGTGAGGCAACTGAAGTAACTTGGTACAAACAGCAACACCAGAAAAACTAGTTTGGGAACATGGAGGCGTTACGAAGACAGTCATTAAATAATCAAGATACAATGTACACTATGTATAGAAATTCCATATCCTGTGACTGAAAGTTAAGGAAGCAAATGGGAGCAGCAGGAACTATTTAAGGCTGGGGCAGGGAGTCTTGGCACTTAAGATGTTTTCAACTTTCAGCTCCCAGAAGTCTGAGCCAACATGGTGTTAGAGATTATGATAATTGTAGTCCAAAACATCAGGAGGGCCAACATTTCCTCACCTCTTATTTAGGGAGATTATCCCTCACAGCCCTTTGGAATCCTCTTGGTCTGATAGGCCAGGATTGTGCTTGACGTTTGGCAACCACAGTGACACCATACCCAACCGAGGACCAGTAGGCGAGCCACATCTTCTGTAGAAGTGTCCCTACATGTGTGCAGAAACCCTCGTGCCCCGTGTTCTTCATGACCAAGAACAAAAAAAAGATCTTGCTAGAATGCTTTGTTCTCAATGCAAAGTTCATCTCCTGAATGAAGAACAACCTTCTTCAATAGTGCTTTCGGCGTGTTCTGTTTAATGGTTCTGATCTTCTCTCTTTCTCTCTCCCCCTCCCCTTTTGTTTTGCTCTTTTCTTCAGGATGCCTTTGTAGAGCTGTACAGCAACAACATGAGGACCTTGTTTGATTTCTCCTGGCTGCCTCTGAAGACAATTCTGAGTCTGGCTGTTGTGGGTGCCTGTATCACCCTTGGCGCTTATCTAGGGCATAAGTGATTTCTACCAACCTGCAATCAGTGTGATGGAAAGTCTGTTTAAAGGAACTGAAAAGAGGAGGGGGAAGAAGAAAATAATATATGGCGTGGTTTTCCCCTGTAGCACAATGCTGTTATTTTATGAGCCAAGTATTCTCTCTAATATAAAATCAGCTATTACTGCCAAAGGGAATATTCATTTATTTTTTACATTTCAGGAGAAAAATTATTTATTAAAGATATTTTACATTTAACCCACTATTTTCCTGAAATTCTGCAAAATATAAACAAATATACCAGAACATTGTTGTAATGACATTTGAAGGAGACTCCAAAGATCTTCGGCATTCTAACAGTGTATCATTGGACAGACTATTTTATCAAAGTGGACTCCAGAACAGACTTAGCAACATACGTGCTTTATCTTTGCAAAAGGCTGCTTTTTGTAGTACGGTTTTGCAGGTAGGTTTTTCAACCCAGCCCATGAAAGGCGTAACCTAAAGTGCAACATGGGTGATAATCTGAACAATTTCCAGCCAGTGCCACCTTTGAAATATTGTTTTTCAACATGGTACCTCTCCACTGTGAAAAGATAATATGACATTCAGGCCAGTAACAGCCCATGAAGCTTCGTATTGCATCCCACCCCACCCCCCACACTTTCCAAAGCGTTTGGAAGGCTTCCTGAGAGGATGACAGCTAGCAATGCAACTTCACATAATCTATGCAGTGTCTTGTCACATGGCACACTGTGCCATTCCACACCCACACTTGGCTCTCATTGGGAAGGACCTACAGTACCACTGTTTGCCCAAGCAACGGTTTCAACGCCTGGTATGGAATCCTTGGGAATTGCAAGAAACAGTCCCATCAGCTTCTTCATAAATAGTAACATTTTTATTCCACGCAACTGTCAGGAAACCGTAAGTGCCTGTATCTGCTTCACAGAACTGCAGCCTCAAACCCCTGACCTCCTGTTCTACTCATTGCTTTCTGTACTGGATTTCTTTTTCTTTTCTTTTATTTTTTAATGGGGGAGTGTGGGAGGGGTTGAAATCAGTTTCCTTGGGTTGCTTAATAATATCTCAAAGTCAGAAGGAAGCTCAAGATTCATTTGGCACGGAGGAGCAATCAGCTGATGGAGATTAGCTCTGAGTTACTTTCTGCAATGGAATGGACGCCAACATTAAATTATCCCACCCTAATTGAAGCTTTATTCCCTTCAGAAGGATTGCATCCCTGGTTGTTTCATGAGGCCATCTTCAAAAGGAAAGAGAATAAAGAAGCCTTCCAGTGCCTCCATCTGCAGAGCCTCACAGACATCCAGCTGCTGGAGGTGCCTATTGTCTTTTGTATGGAATCCTGGAAGGGAAGCTGAGTGGGGAGGGGGGGTCTTATTTAAAATCACTCGGAAAGGGATGAATGCAGCATATTTAATAAGACAGCTTTCTCTTTTTAAAAAAAAAGAATATATTGCTTTGTTCTTTGATTCCAAGTATATAGGTTGGGACAGATTGGTGAAAGGAGGAGCTGGCCCCAGAGGTCAGGGTTGTAGCTCATGCGAGTGCATGCATGCATGCATGCGTGCGTGCGTGCACACACACATACAGTGCAACTTCTGCCCCAGTGCAGATCACCAGAGTTCTCTAGCCCTGTTGCTCCTCGTTCTTCCTGCACTTTCCTCTCCCCCACTCCGAAGTGTGCAGGCAGGCAGGAAGAAGGGCAAGGAGTAGGCTGCTGGACCTCTCTTTCTGGGCTGCAGTGAAGGCTGGCCTTGGAGGGAAAGAGCAAGGGAATTGGGGTAGTGGCAACCATGGCAAGGATGTTGGGCCATTGAGAGCATCTTTCCCAGGGAATCTATGGGTGATGGTCCCAAGAAGTGCAAGTCGATCTTTCATCGCTACGGTTCTTGGAGAACTAGATAAATATGCTTTTGATAACAGTTGTCTGAGGTGGACTCAGATCCTAAAGCAAACAGAATTGATGAGACGGGATGGTCCCTTTTGATCATGTATTCAAAGGCATCCATCACTCTTAACAAAGATGACACTAGATGGGATTCCTTCCAATGGACCGTTATGCCTAGTTAATAAGAACCATAATGGCATGTTGGTATCAGTTGGATACATTCATGGCCAGGGCTGAAAAAAATCAAGAACTCTGTGTGCACAGCTGATGGCTTTGCACATGCTCAGGGCTTTGCCATTTTTTGTTTCCGGCAGCTGCCCTTTGTATTATGTAGGCCTGTGCACTTGAGGCTTCCCCCCCAGCCCCCGTGATTAGTTTTCGGGAAGTGTTGGGGTGGAGGCTGCAGGGCAGAGCCAGGAAAATCCCAGCACATGTAATGATGCCAACTCACAGTTTGTATATTGGATCTCAGCCAGCGGGTATAGGAGCAATGTGAGTGCTATTAATGCACAGGCTTAGTGAATTTCTGGAAGGAATACCATCCAAAAGGAACAAATTCAGAATTATATGTGGTGGACATGTTTGATTTCTGAATTTCCTCCTTGTTCTTTTTTGTAAGTGTTTTCTCACGAATGGGTTTTTAATTTCCAAAATTGTAAAGAAATAGAATTTATGAATTAACATTCATTTGTTGATTTAAGAAAAAAGTATAGCTGAAGTACAGCCATAACAAACATGCTTAAGATGATGTTAACAACAAGAACAAAACCCTAAAAGAAAATGTATAGGCTCAACTGCTCTAACTGAAATATTTTAATTTTGTGACATTACAAGCAAGCAAAAGCTCTAGAGAATGTAATTATTTCAATAGCTATGGCTATAATTCATATCATATCTTCAAAGCTGCTTTTATAAATGGGCAAAAATCCACAAGGTAGCTATTCTTGCTTTCATCCCCTTCATTTCAGTGGATCGTATGCAGAAGAATTTCCTAGTGGATTGTGTTTAATGCATCTCGCCAATTGTCGTAGCTGCTCTACCATTATGTCACTTGCATCCAGAATTTCAAGACCAACCGTGAAGCAACGTTCTCACATTTCATACTAGAAATAAATGTATCAAGGCAGATATTTGAACTTCATTGTACAGATGCTGGGCAATGTATATTTGCTAAAGCTAAAATATTTATTATTACGCCTTACACTGTACATCTATATAAGGGACAATTTGAAGGAAGCTGAGTGTAACCTATGGCCTACGTAGCCCATAGTCAGTGGAATTTAAACAAGCCTAACAGCTGATAGATTTTCCAAAGAGTAAACACATATGGGAAGACAGTGAAAAGTCTTGTGGCGCCTTTCAGACTAACTACTTTAATTTGGCTGAAGCTTTTGTGGTACTTGTAACCTAATTCATCACAGCCAAGATGTACGCAAAGAAGTGGGTTACAGTTCCCTTGACATTTGTCCCAACCTGAACTTGTTGGTCTGAACGTTGCTGCAAGGCTTTGCCTTGTTTTGCTGCACCAGATTAACACAAGGAGCCCTTTGGATATGTATGGGAAACAATACGTTTTATAACTGACCACGCATGCCATGAACTCATGTAAACCTTGTGGGCCTGTATAAGACATACACCAAAGGGTAGGCTTTTCCATTGCACAAAGAGCAACCTGTACATTAGAAAAAGTACAGCATTCAGTTATTGGCATCTGTGTTGCCTGCCAGCAGCTTTACCAGGGGCTGGTTCACACACGCATACCTAGCGCTTCATTTTCATTCTCTCTTGGTTACTTAGTACTTAATAGCATTCACAGCTCAGTCCAGTGTTGAGTTAGACATATGCAATTGGATCTGTTTTTGATTACACTTCCTAGAATTCCATAACATGTTTTTTTTAAAGAAGAAAGAAAGAAATTTGGCTTCTGCCTTACCTAACTGTATAGTGGTGGTTCTTAACCTTGGGTTATTCAGGTGTTTTTGGACTTCAACTCCCAGAAGCCTTCACCACCAGCTGTGCTGGCTGGGGTTTCTGGGCGTTGCAGTTCAAAAACACCTGAGTAACCCAAGGTTAAGAACCACTGCTGTATAGGACCAGGCTGTCAGTTTGATGTGCAAATGATCTCCATTTTAAAGTACTATACTAAAGTACACCACCATGGCATTGGGTGGTGTGACGGTTCATCCCAACAAAAGTACTATACTAAAGTACACCACCATGGTGTGATGGTTCATCGCAACGCACAAGTCATCATCACACTCAAGAGGGAAAAATGGTCAATTCAGTGTATCCTAAAATGCTGTCAACACAGCAGCCACCAGTATTGAACCATATACTGTGTCTATTCAAGAGTGTCATCATGGGGGATATGGAGCAAGGTGAGACTCAGGTATCTGGACTGCCAGAGACAAGTGTTCTCCCAGAAGTTTGAAAAAGCTGGTGGCCATGGTCATTGGAGGATTCTGGAACTTGTCGTTTAACAATGTAGCTTTTCCAACTCCTGCCCTTTACCTACCCTAACACTTTCAGGCAGATACGGGATCTGATGGAAGGGCAATGAAAAAAAGCTCAGCTGTTTCAAACTGGCAAATACCACAGCCATCCTAGTTGTAAGAAGCTGTTTTCACAAGAGTGGGGGAAGCAGATATTTTAAAGCCACTCAGATACAGTAATTATTTGTTTCAATTGCCCTGTGTGTGGTGCCTTTTCTTCTGTGTTATCATCTCAGCACAGAGGGTTTGAGACTTGAGCAAAGCACAAGTTTTGGCTTTAAGTCTTCGGTTTCACATGCTTCTGTTAACTTTCAAACAGTGACCATAAATTCCAGGCCATCTATACTGGATCATGCACTTCAAACCTGCTTAATAAAGGATTGTTTATTTCTGAGACCCTGGTCACACAAGGGAAATGTTTTCTAGTTCTTCCGATACTTTCCATACATCTGTTGTACTGAATCATAGTTTATATCCCGGGATGAATGTCCCAAGAACTATTAGCGGTATTAATTTATTTCCTCCTGTTTGAATTCTCATGACTGGTTTATTTTCTCTCTTGCTTCAAAGGGAAATTTAGCCGATAGATAGATAGATAGATAGATAGATAGATAGATAGATAGATAGATAGATAGATAGATAGATAGATAGATAGATAGATAGATAGATAGATAGATAGATAGATGGATGGATGGAT